AGTGGTGGCAATGCTGCCACCACTGGTTCTCTTGTGGGTGCCTTTGCTGCGGCTGCCCTTTTTAACTCCTTCTTCAGCCTGCTCCTCTTGTCTTGCAGGTATGTTGCGACGTAGGAATTCATCTTGGCCATTCCTTTCTTCACAACTTCCTCTGGCCCTTCACCAATAAAGAGGCCAAAGGCGACTGAAAAACGAAAGTAGAATAGAATGCAGAACTATTACTCTCATACACGATTATAATGAACTGGCATAAGGAAAATTATGCCCTATATTGAACCAAAACTCGCCGATCGATATGCATGCAAACCATATCTCGAATAACGAACCATACATCGGATATATCCAACTCTTGAGTTGCGGGCCGCGCTCTCCTGATGCATGCAGCAGGCTTCCCCGCTATACACCCGCAAATCGCGGTGTACTATGTACGCTCCTGATGCATGCAGCAGGCTTCCCTGCTGTACACCCGTGGATAGTGATTTGCTGTGCGCGCTCCTGATATCATGCAGCAGGCTTCCCCGCAGGTAGCAGTGGCGCGCAGGCGCATGCGACGCCCACGCACAAGCACATGGTGCCGAAAGCACCATGTAAAACAGGGCAGCATAGTCAGACTCGTTCATTGAATAGGCCTATTCACCAATGTTTGCAAACAAGCTCGCTGCCGCCCACTATCGGCGGACCCCCGCGCGCTTCCGGTTTTCCTCTTCTTTTCCTCTTGTCACACATCCTTTTGTTATTCGTATTACGTTCTACAAAGTACGTAGGTTCTTACAAACCTATCACACGTACCTCTCCGAAGGAAAATCTTATTTTCCGATCGCTGTGTGTTACTGAAGAAGAAATAAATACACTACCGGAAGTCTACTGGGGCACCAAATACTGTGGCGCCCTCATGGTACCAACTCCCACCGAATGCGGTGAATAACGTTTGGGTCACAGGAATGTTTAGGGTCTTCCTGCGACTGGGTCGAAGCAACGCTTGCCAATTTGAAACCAGATCTCCGCGAGCTCAACAAAGCGCGGAGCAGGTTGGCCTTTGTGTAGGTGCTGCACAGTATCGATGGGTGAGCTGACAGACGTCGAAATTACCGCCGAGTTTGTCGGCAAGCGGCTTGTGCACAAGACCAAAAACTCGGTCTTGTAAGCATTAAGAACATCGCATTGCACCACTCTCGACCTCGAGCAAAGCAGCGTCTCATGGCGGCTCTGCTGTGGACTTGAGCACGCAGAACCGGATAGGGTAGATACCGTGGAGAGTGCCTTTGCAAGGTAGCTTAATAAACACGCTGTGCTGACTAAGTTCTCAAGACCCCAGTAAATGAATTAATGGTTTTAAATAAGAGTTCTAATCAAAGATGAGCCACGCAGTAGCTATAGAGATTGGAGAAAGCTCGTTGTGCCGTCTGGACTCCATTTACATTATTTTGTATATTTTAGGAGTTTCAAAGTGTTTGTTATAAATAAGTTCCACAGTAGTGCATGGTTTTAAAAAAATTTCACTTGAAACCTTTTCTTACATCAAATTAAGCAATGAATGACACATGAGCAAGATGCTTGCTGGATGCAGTTTCCAGCAGCACATATAGCTTTACATCAATTCTTGCTTTACGTTGGAAAGAGTTCTACAATCACAAGAGCAACGTGGCATTTGTCAAAGCAAAGAAATTAAAGAAGTCAATCGCAAATTGGTTGCAGTTACAAGTATGAATAAAGCTGATAGTAACTTTGGATGAAAGTGCAAAGTCATGCAACCTGCTGCCAACTCAGAGATCGGTTCATTCTTCAGAAAAGTTGTTTCTTCAAAACACTCTTAACAGACTGCATGGTTATTTTGTACAAGTGAACATCCCCCCCCCCCCCCTCTATCGTCTGCTTTTACAAGGGCAACCATGATTATTCAGAATATTTTGATAGTGAAAAGCAAGCTTGTACTTACCCCAAACTGCCTCCAGCTTCTTGGGAGTCATGGGTAGCTTAGCATCCTCCTGGACCCTGCTTCAGAAAACGCCGGGAGCAGTTCCCTGTCATGCTTCGGGCAAGGAGCTCATCTTCAGTCGACATTGCCAGGCAGGCATTTCTGACAAATTTTGAGTCAGTGTTAGATTTATCAGCGCAGTGGTTAAACGGCACTACCGTCATGGACACACCACTGCCCAGGTCAACCTGCATAAAAATTGAGAATTGCAATGGTTGAGGTTAGCAGTACAAAAAGCTATCACTGTAGAGCTTGACTAATACGTTTTACCGGATGCTAGATCACAGAATCCGCGTCCCATTATAGGGTCAAAAAGCTAGGTGTAGTAATTTTCCAGCTGTACTTTCAAGAAGCTCATGCAGCCATCTATTTCACAGCATCCTTGTTCATTCTAGCTAGAATATACACTCACCGAATCCACATCCGCACTGACGGTTTGTTAATTGTTTAAATTAGGTTAGATTCTTATAATGGCAGCCTTTAAAACTGCAATTATAAAAAGTTGACTAATAATTTTTGGTTAACGAGTGAAAATATTGTCACGGTTCTATATCCACCCATCTAATGTCCACCAGTCGCACCAACAGACTGCGGAGATGGCATCCAGATTGCACTGAGCCCTTATCTAAAAATAAAACATTGATTAAAAAATGTACACCTGTATACCGTACAACACCGAGCATGTGCCCATATCACAACAAAGGCCTAACCCCTACTTTCGGAATGCTCCCAAATTAAGCAGATGACATTGAATTTTATTTTAAGCAATGTTTAAAACAAAAAATCAAAGGATACAGCAAGCGCACAAGTTCCGTGGCGGCCTTGCCATGGTAGCACCGGTCGTAGAAGTAATGGCTAGCAGCACTTATTTCCCCGACCGGTATGAGCCACAGCACAGGCTTTACTGGGAACAATGAGATGAGCCAAAAAAGGTAGCACAGAAATAGGAGGCAAAAAAAGCGAGCAGACGCTGGGATCGCTGCTGTTGCAGCATCTCAACTTGCGACTGCTGTGGGTTCCGCCGACTGCAGAGATAGCTACAGTAGAACAAGCGCCTGCCGGCCCCACGTCAGTTGCTGCAACACCGCCAGTATTGCGGCTAACTACTAATGTGCCTGTGATGATGTCATTAAGAGGAAAACAGGAGCTCAGAAATAAAGACGTGGCAGGACCCCAGCTCCAGGTTTTCACATCACTCAGCGGAGAAGATATACAAAAAAAGAGGATAAAGAATCATTCTCACACGTATCACCATACATCACCATTAGGTAAAATATCAAGTTTAAAAATGAGAAAAATTAAATATTGGAGTACCAACTGCAGGTCACGAAAGGTTTAAAATATAGGTTACTAGGTTATACTTGAATGTCTTGAATGACCTATTATTTTCCATCATTTGAGTTATGGTGGGTTGTGCATTTAGGGTGTCTGGAATCAGATATGAGAGTTTATAGAAGCCATAATTAGTATGGACCTTGCTTTTTATGTAATGGCTATGTCGTAAACTGTAACTTCATTCTCCCCAGTTTATAAAGCGCCGGGAAATGGTTCCACCACAGTCAGCTTTCACGTATGTACTACTCATGCTCTACAGGGAACCGGTCCCGTCCTTGAGGGGCTAGGACATTTCAGTGCGCTGTTGGTTGAAGACAGGTTAGTTATATAAATGGTGAATGTGTACTTTGTACCTACACCCGAAGGCAGAAATTTAATCGGTCATCGATTCACGCTTTAAAGGGATACGGAAACAAATATTGAAATATTCAAATTTAGTTCGGAAATGAGTCAAGCATGATGGTTAATAACCGTAAATGATAATCGCAATTTTGTATCTTGAACGACTGGCTCTATTTTTTGTTCCAAACGGTGCACTCGAGCAAGCGCTCGAAGAGAAGCGAGCAGAGAGCGCGATGCGTCATGGGATGTCTGGTGCAAACAAAAACAAAGAAAATATTTCCCGCGTTCGTGGAGTAGCAAGGCAGGGTGGTTATGTATGAGCTTTGCCCTTGGTGACGTTGTCAGCGTTATGCTGGTGTCAATAGCGTCAGCGCGTTACAACCGAGCCGTTCGAAGTACCCGTGGAGTGACGAGCGTGTGGCTGGCCCAAGGAGCACGTAGCTTCCACAACACTGTCAGCTTAGGGCTGAACGGGGTGGGGAAAGCAACTTTTGTTCGAGTTTTGAGGGACGGGCTGATCTTCTAGGGGGAGAATGGCTGTTTCCGGTTGCACGAACGAGGGTTTAAGAAAGAGGAGAGTCCTTCCTTTCCGTTTTCTTGGACCGTTTGGTACAATGCGCGATTTGTGAGTTGAGGAGGAAAGCTAAAAAGGAAAATGTCGAAATTCCAAAAGGTGGCGCTGCTTTGAAGGAATCTGCTATGTCACAACTATGAGCAGATTCCACAACGTTGCTAGACTGCCTCCCAAATAGGCCCCGCATGCATCCACCAGGTGCACATTGAAAGATTGTTTATTTAGCTTTAAAATTAGTTTTCTTGAGCCTTTCAACGGAAGACTGGTGTTTGTGAGGTGAGGATGCAACATGCAACACATTCAAGCTAGAAATTGAGCGCTGGAATTTCGTTTCCTACCCCTTTAAACAGCTGCAGTGCGGATAAAAGCTGCACTTCCACACCGATTACAAAACGGGTCGGTTCCAATAGCCCAGATCCCAAAACACAATTAGACTCTACGCCCCGCATGCAGGATTTTTACCTACCGGCGGAATCTTCCGATACCTCCCATTGGGACTCCAATTGCTGACGACAGCACCAAATTTCCCCTAACAAGCGTTGGGTTTCTCCAAAAGCAATAATAAATAGACAAAACAATACACGCGCCGTCGTCATGGCAACCGCTTGGTTAGGGGAAAGGGTGTGAGAAGTGTGGTCCCTCCTCTTCCTCTCTCTCACCCTCGGCAACGGAAGGATGCAAGTTCTTTCGGAGTTCAGAGCAGCCTCCAATCTTTGAACGAATTTGCATCCTATACATAGTTCCCACATGACGTCACTTCCTCGACTTCCGGCCGCCATTGACCGGTACTGAGAAGCAGACGCGGACGCTGCTGCTGCCGCATGTGCGCCGCTGAACGACTGGACAACGTCGGTTTGCATGCCCAGGCGGCTCGATCGGCTTGATGGCGAAAGCCAATGACCAATAGTTTTGTACCTCATACTTTCAGGAGCTTGTGGGCCCTACACGGGCTCGCTATGAGGCGAAGATTAGTATGTGCAACGGCGTCGATCCCTACACACTACGCGTGGAAACGAATACGACATCGGATGTGGACTTGCTTCCAGCCACTACACACGTGGACATTATTAACTATCTGGTCTTATCGACAAGCTACATTTCCCTGCTACAAATGAAGGCGTACAAGTCCTTAGAGGCCCACAATTACTTCACAAGCGGATGGGTGAAGAGCCTCACAACAATGCAGCTACCATCCAAGCGGATCGTCGTTCTGAGCGAGGCAAGTTGATCGTCGTTCCTTAATCTGCCTGCGTATGTGCGTCTGTGTATATTTGTTCGTGGCAAATTATAATATTTGTTCCTGTGCTGTAAAATTTCTCGCTAAAGGGTGAACCGCATGTAAGCAATTTAGCGAGCGACGAGGCAAGCGTAGGTGACAGGAACGAGGGTCAGCAACGAGTGACTGAGAGTTCTCACGATCGCTCGTCGCGTCGCTTGGTTCTGGGATTTCTCGAAATTGTCGCTCATCGCCCCGGTCGCTTGCTCCCATCACTTTCATAGGGTTTGCCTCAACGCGCGAGTGACCTACCGACAGTGAAGCGGGTTGTCATTGCTTGTTTCGTCGCTCGCTAAATTGCTTACATGCAGTTCAGCCTTAACGCACCGCCCGATCCCCACAAGTTGACGAGATCCATTTACTGTTGCACATGTGGTCAGATCTGAGTTGCACTTCCGCTTGAGAGCAAAAGACCGAGCGACGCGACAGGCGACAGTGAAAAATCTCCGTCGCTCGTCTCGTCACTCGCTACATCCCTTGCGTGCAGTTCAGCCTTTAATTGCAGGAAATGTAATTGTGAACACAAACTGACAAGTTCGCTGTAAAGACATAGACAAAATGTAAATTCAGTATATCAAAATAATACATGCGTATCGAGGAGTTTTTAATCTGTCACTTCATTCTTAGGTCAACCACTCTCAACGGCTGCAAGAGGCACCACTGAAGGCCTGGTTGCTGGCCGACGCCGACGGAAGCGTTATCACAGCGCACTGCACCTGCATGGCAGGAGCAGGCGAAGCCTGCGTGCACCTTGGAGCAACACTGTTCGCTGTTGAGACAGCAGTGCGTCTCAGGAATTCAAGAATGTGCACGGAGGAGAAGAACGTCCAGCTTCCTGCACACAGCCCGGGGACGCAGTACAAAAGGCTTCGGGACATTGACTTCTCATCTTCTAAAAGCAAAAATAAACAAATAGATGGGGTTCACCAGAGGCTGAATGCTGAAGTCGTGCCACTATTGCACCCAGTTGTGCCACCTGCTCCTACAGAGGAAGAGCTCAGAATCTTCCATTCCAGACTTTCGGATGCTGGAGCTGTACCTGCACTCTTCATGTTCCACCTGCAGTACAGTGGCAGGTTTGAGCCACCTTGCAGGAGAGAACCAAGCCTTCTTTGCAACTTGTTATGTGCAGAAGCACGATCGGTGGACTTGCCAGCTCTCGTTTCCCGTGCCGACAAGGTGCTGGCCGAACTTGTCGTCAGTGAAGAAATGGTAACGAATGTAGAAAAGAGCACACGGGCACAGTCCAAATGTGCAAGGTGGTATTCATATCGTGCAGGTAGGATTACTGCATCAGTAATGAAAAGTGTCTGTTCAACTAGTGTGACCCAGCCCTCAATAAGCCTTTTGAAAAAGATCTGCTATCCTGAACAGAATACCTTCACGAGTGCAGCTACAGCATGGGGTCTCAAGCACGAGAATGATGCAGTCGCTAGCTATGTTGATTTCATGTTAGAAAATCACACCGACTTCACTCATCGCAAAACGGGTTTATTTGAGCACGCAGCACCCCACATCGCTGCCAGCCTCGATAGTCTTGTTTGCTGTGCATGCTGCGGCAAGGGAGTTGTTGAAGTTGAATGTCATCATTCCTTAGCCATCAACACGATACAGCAGGCAGTAAATGACTCAGACTTCTGCCTAAAGGATGTCGACGGCAACCTGCGCCTAGAAAGGAAGCACCCTTTTTTCTATCAGGTACAGACACAGATGGCTGTATGTGGCGTTACTTACGCGGATTTTGTTGTGTGGAGTCTACTGTCAAAGCCGCACATTGAAAGAGTGCTGAAGGATGACACATCTTTTGACAGTGTCATTCCAACTGCGATAGTCTTTTTCAGATGTGTAATCTTGCCTGAATTGTTTTCTCAGCACTTCACAAGAAAATGTACTCCAAAGTCGAAAGCGAGCGTGAGCAGCTTTTGCTACTGTCAGGGACCCGAGGTGGGAAAGATGCTTGCGTGCAATGGCCATCACTGCAAATATGGTTGGTTCCATTACAGTTGTCTAGGCATAAAGCGTACTCCAAAACAAAGCAAGTAGTTTTGTGAAGATTGCGTTACTGCAAACAGTAGTCAACAGTGAATTTCATACCCTGCAGAGTGAACAGCAACCTCTGTACATTTATTGGAGGACGTTCGGTGAACTGTAGAGCTTGAGTGGCCTCGGTGCCCTCTCGTTAATAAAATGTTACAGTATCCACATCCTAACAACATTGTTTCCTTTCAAAATACAGAATCACCGATTCTAATGTGTCAGATGAAACCATTTACAAAATGTATTGATGTGACCAAGACAGTAGAATGCTCCATTGTCCCAGAGCAAAACCAGATGAACAACACAAAAAAAAAAAAAAAAAAAAGAAAATTGCACGAACCCCAGAACTCTTGCTCGGACACGAACAAACAACCCTGCATCAGCAACAGATCGACAAATCGACAGTATGCAAATTGAGCGTGTTTCTGACCGGGAAAGGGTGACAAAATGCTGACCCAAGCTATTACTCAGTTTCATCTTTTTTCTATATTAGCAAGCTTCTATCATTTGATGTACAAATGAAGGATGCCAACTTGCAAGAAAACCTTCATGTGGGTATTTTGGGGTATTCAGGAACCACAGATGGACAGAGGTTTGTAAGGGCGCAACAGACTCACAATTTTATTGAGAGGCGTAAACTGGTCTCCTGGTCTGCAAATGACAAAGTCAATTAGCTGAACAGCTTTCATGATGATGTACTTGTTGCGTACTAAGCCAATAACCCTTTCAACACGAATTCGAACGTTCGCAAGTTTTCGAGTACTTTCAATTTCTAGGGCCGACAGTTGCTTTTTGCCTTTAGTGAAGGCAGGAACATGCAGCTCTGCACAGTACAGGCTCAGAGTATCGGCAATATCAAATCCCCTGTCGGCGAGAACCACATCCGCTTGGGATAGGAGGTCGAGAAGGCCACAGTTTTCTATTATGTGTTTATCGCTCGTTCCACCCCAGGCTTCCGATATGTACAGTAAAACCTCGTAACAAAGTTGAAGGAGCGGTCGTAATTATTTCGTGATAACCATTAGTTTGTTATAGCCAATGTCCATTTCTTCCCACTATTAGCAAGCAAGGGGAATTATGATTGCTTTGTTATATCCGTTAGTTTGTTATATCCCGTTTTGTTATAACGAGGTTTTACTGTATGTGATAACACCTTGAGGAGATAATCCAATTAAAAGTTTCCCCGTGTTACTGTTTTTGTACTGGGACCATGTCTCACTTCTTGCAAGTAAAGAGGATGGTCGCTCTATTTTTATCTCGAAGCAGTCGATGACTGCCACCTTTGGCCCGAAGGAGTCAAAGAATGCCTGTGGCATTGTGCTCTGTATGTCTCTCCTAGACGGCCACACAATTTGGTACTTCAGTCTTCAGAATTCTGCGTGCAGCCGCTTTTCGAAGATTCTGCTTACCGTTGAATCTGAAACGCCAAACCTGTGAGCAAGATCTTGCACAGGAAAGTTCCATTTGAGCTTCAATAAAAACACGAGGAATTCCTGCAATTTCTCCAAGCCATTTTGTGCAGTGTGTTTCACGACAGACTCTACAAACTGGAAGACTGCAAATAGTACTGAAAAGCTACCAAGATAAAAAAGAACTTTTGCGTTGTCTTCACGAAGCGATGCTTCTGTCACTTCCAGCTGTTGCTTTTGCTTCGTAAGTGTGCGGAGCTCCGAAGCAAGTCTTCGGATGTCCATGTCAACTGCTCGTGGGTCCTCTTCTGTCAGGTCCGTTTGCATGGCAGCTTCTGCCATAAAACGGAAAAAAAAAACAGTAATTTAGTGCATCAAATTATATGCGAAAGGAATGTCATTAAACTAATCATAAATGGTAAATTTTTGGCACAAACCTCTGTTCGAGGCTGCTGAATCCACGGAACAGCTTGGAGGGGGAGAACCCCAATCAAGCTCGGGGTCCATGCTGCGGTCTAGAGGCGATGCATGATCTTGAAGAGACTGGCAGGGGGGTCTACTCGCCTCTGACTGGACCGCCTTCTGGCGTTTCTTCGAACGCTGGTACTGAGCTGATATCTCACCCAAAGGCTGCTCGCCGCGTTCATAACCAAGGTGCTGGGTCGGCGCCCAGTCAGGATTAGCGTGGTCCATGAGACTCGATGGTTTGCCTGGGAATGAAGAAACGTGAACTCTCGTCGACGAACGACGAAATTGTCCGTCGCGTCGCTCGTTTCTAGGTTTCCAGAAAGCATCACCCATCGCTGCTGCTCATCGCGACGTGCATCGCTTGCATGGCTACGACGAGCCGAGCGACAGCGGGTCCTGTTGCGTCGCTCACATGTGATTCACTGATCCCAGCATCTGAACTAAACTCGACGTGTCCGCAGCCAACACCACAGAATTACGGAAACGCGGCTACAGCGATAAAAACAAATACAAAAGCAGCGGTTGCAACTTGCTCGTCAACTGTAAGGAGTTTCGATCGTCAAGCATTGGAACGTCGCGGCGTAAACATTACCTTGGCTGCTGCCCCGCAGGGGGCACCTGTGAAAGCAGGTGTTTGGAGAGTGGCGTCTCCACGGACCCCGACCCCCGCAGGGGGCACCTGCACCTTAGGTGCTAGGTGCTTGGTGAGTAGCGTCACCACGGACCCCAGCCACGTGGGCCACCATACCCGCACGCAGGGGGCACCTACTTTTGTAGGTGCTTGGTGAGTGGCGTCACTACGAACCCCGAGCCATGTGGGTTCGCCCACCCACGTCTGGCTGTGCGTGGCGTACCCGTGTCCGGGGAAAAGGGGACCCTGGTGGTTGAGCTGAGCCCGGGGTATGTTTGGACCCTTCGGGGCCCCCCGGGCGAGGCAATACACTGCTTTGACCCCTGCTTCTCGTAGACCGGTGACCTGGCTTGGCCCGACCAGGATGATTCAGTCAGTCGCCTCTTCTACCCTCTTCCTTCTTTCACTTTTCCTCCCACCTGATGTACAGGGGGAACAGCGCACTTGCAGAACAGTCATTCAAATCAACATACACACAAAAGAAAGAAACACTTACTCAGCGCTGACTGACAACTCTCTATATTTACACTTTCTCTTCTATTTGTGCTATATGCAAGGGCCAGGGAGAATAACTGGTCTTTTTTCTTTTCTTTCGATATGATGCTAAATAGTGAACTAAATTGAAATTAATGTAAAGCTAGGTAGTAACGCATGTGCCGTTATGTTTCGCAATGTTCTCTGCCTCGATAATTTCTCTTGTGAGCTTGTTATGGTGCTTGCCAAGCACGCCGCAGTTACTCAGCTGCACTGAGCACCCAGTCTCGACAGTGAATGCCTAGATGACCGGAGCTTTTGTTGGTGAATGTGTTGTTATGCTCTCGAAGGCGATCGTTCAGACACCTTCCGGTTTGACCTATGTACAGCTTTCCACAAGAGAGGGGAAAGGAGTAGACCACCTTTTCTGTACAAGGGACAAAGGTGTTCTTGCGCTTCTTTTTGCAGCCAACTGTTGTTATTGGTGGAGTATTTACCTTGCATAAGCTGTGAAGTTTGTTAGGAGCTGAGAAGATGACTTCCAAGTTTACTCGGTTAGCTATTTTCTTTAGTCCGTGAGAAAAATTATGAATATATGGCACAATGACGGGCTTCTTTGTTTTGTCTCTTTGCTTTTGTTGTGTGCTTAGGTCTTGCCTGCTTTCGTTGATGTGCTTTTCGGCCACTGATGTTAATAACGAGTTTGGGTATCCTGCGCGCTTTAGTCTTCCCCAGCTTCCCCAGCTCCCCAGCTTGCATTCAAACCCCCAGCTTTCATTCAAACACTGCTAACGCTTGCTTAGGTTTACGCTTAATAGCCCCAAAGAATATATTTTTCTTTTTTGCTCACTAGGGACAAGCACGTGCGCTATCTCGCTCTGAGGGAGTTTTTTTCCCTCAAGTACACGGCTGCGCTACGGCAAAGCACCTTCAATGATGGGCTTGTGTCACCCCTTGTCTCGTTTGGTTATTTTTTCTACGTGATATATCGTAACTCTTCATCGCTATGCAATTTTAATATTTAAACACAAGCCCATCACGCCTTAAACATTATTAAAATTTTCTCCTGAGTGGCCAAACAAAAATCCAGACCTCCCGCGCTGTATTTTTGTACTGAATGCCTAAAAATAAATTCTGAATGATGAAAGTAAAACTATATTCCGAACATATGCTTATGGGGTTACCTCGAACGTCGAACGGTACATCCTGAAATGCTCCTTGAATTGGGTATCCCCGTAGCGAGGGACAACATCGGAGACAAATCCCTCAATCCCCCGGATACGGTCGGAGTCCGACGGTCCAGCGGGATCTGCGGAAGTGTGTAGAGAGACACTGTCACGATAATTTCAGCCATTATCATGCATGCTTAACTTCACATATGACTTCTTTGAGGGCTCCAAGCACCTCGGTAACTCTTCATCGCTTGGTTCGTCTCTGCACCTCCATGAATTCTACAAAATCATCCTCCAAAACAACTTGGAGAAGCGCGTTGTCGGCGTCAACGTCTGCTGCCATAGCGCGTTTTTTTTTTTTTTTTTTTTTTTTGTTAGGGGCAGGATGTTTGCGCACGAATTTGACGGAAACGGAAATGCGCAAACACTGGGCCGCGCGGCGGCGCCCTTATTTCCCATCTAGTAGGCGCTCCGAGGACTCTGACTCGAGTTACTCTGTTCGGAGACGAAGGAGCCGTTACTGAACGCGCCCATTGGCTCCACAAATTCACGCCGAGCATGCAAGCACGCGGGTGGTCATGCGTCACCTTGATTGATGCAAAGTCGACCGAACATGATGCAGCTGAAAGCACGGACGGCACGCACGGCACGGACGAACGACGCACAGACGAGCAGAGGCCATGCAGAATGATGCTGAGGTGACGGCGTGCAGGCCACGACGGTGCAGGCAGGCAGGCAGGCCATACCAGGCGCCATTCATCACGTGGTTTTTGTGACGTAGTTCATTAACACTATTTGGTATTTTTAAGACCTTTAAATAGCTAAAGCATAACAATTAAAAAAAATAAATACTTTTGGGATAAAGAGCTCTAATTAATATTAACCAAATGACAGAGAAGCACCACGTAGCAGAGGGCATTAAACACACCATCTGGGCCGCAAATCGCCTTCTGTGTCCTCTTTTCACGCTTACTATATTAGTCTATGGGCGCTCCCCAAACCTCGGCAGTGCGCCTCTTAGGCCCGTGTCCCACTAGAGCGACATACAGAAACAAAAGACAACGACAAGCCTCAAACCAGAGTCTTTCGTGATTTGAGAGGCTTTGTAGAATAAAGGAGGCTATGCTCAAACACGAGCATCATGCACCCGAGAGTGTCTTTATTGGACTTCTTCCAAAACCGACGCACCCCATTGCGGCGAAATACCACGCAGTGCACTCTGGGAACTAGTTGGCCTCTCAGTTTCGGTTTCGACTGAGCAGATTCATCTCATGGTATCACGCCGCGACCAAACGCACTGCTTGCGTTTTCGATTATCTGACTTTTTTACGAATGTACAATATACTCATTCTGCAGCGATACAAAACGAAGGCCGGGGCACTTTCCTTGGTTCCCTAAACACCGGATATTACGAGTGCGTATGCAAACATAGTAAGACGTGGCTTAGTCACCTCATCTTTGAGTTCAATTTCAATAATCCCGTCTAGTACCAGTGAACTACAAGTGAAATTCGGTCACTCGGAGCATTACACGTATTTTGTTTGCCAAACGTCCGCTTCTTGTTACTTCATTGGGCGAAAAGCAAGCCGCATCCTCGCAGGAGTATCAAAGTTGAGCCCGGCGTTGACGCATGAACTTTTAAGCAAATGCAATAAATTCGACCTCACTACTGCACCAAAGCTACTATGATGTCTTCCTCGTGTCATCATATATCTCCCACTCAAATTTTATGCTGATAGAAG